CATTGGTTTGTTTCCTGCCTATCACGTTTTAACTTTTACAAATATTTTATTTATAGCTTTATAAACTTTTATTCAGAAGAGTGTTAACTGTTAACTTCCTTTCTTTGAAATTTCTGGCGGAATGTACAACAGTCCACACGCCTAGTGTATTTTTTTTGGCTCGTTTTTTTTCACGTTTTAAAAATTGTAAACAAACATCAGCTGATTGTTATGGCTTCAACAAGTTTAGTTTACTGATACTAATATGAGGTCTGCTCGCTCAAGATGTAAGATGTGTGTCTGCCGAAGAAGCAAGCCAATTAATTAGCTTGGGTGATTCATGGGACTGGAAGGAAAACAAGGAAGTGGATTTGTTCATATAGAATATAGTTTGTAAACATAAGTACACATTTGTCTAACCAGTATAGCATTTTTAATTATTAACTTTTGGAACATTTATTTCAAGACACTTGTGAAAATTCTTAACTTAGCAGTTTCTTGAGCTATTGCAACTAAACTTTCCTCATACTTCGGATATACAATATAATTAGAGCTTATTTGCTAAAAAAAAAAAGTATCTTGTTTGGATTGTTCTTACCTGATTTATGGGCTGGTGAGTAGAATTTTATTATTTTAAATTGTACTTTTACATAACGCTACTACCCATAATTAATGTTTTTTCTCGATATAATTTTTTATCACTATTTTATCAATACAAGTATATTCCTTGTTGATTAAATTATCAAAATTCTGATATTCTAATTGAATTGTTCTTTCTGCTAAATTCTGATATGCTAATTGACTTGTTCAATCAACGAAATTCTGAAATGCTACATGACTTGTTCAATAAGCAAAATTCTGAAATGCTACATGATTTGTTCAGTCAGCTAAATTCTGACATGCTACATGATTTGTTCAATCAGCTCAATTCTGAAATGCCACATGACTTGCTCAATCAGCTCAATTCTGAAATGCTACATGACTTGCTCAATCAGCTCAATTCTGAAATGCCACATGACTTGCTCAATCAGCTCAATTCTGAAATGGCACATGACAAAGGTTTGATAAACAGAAAGTCACGTTTTGAAGTCAAAAGTCATCAGGTTGCACGTCGAATGGATTTTTAGTCCCTTATTTTTTTTTTTCTAACTTCCACTGAAAAATTGAAATATTGAATGGGTTACATTTTTCGCTATGTCTATGTCCCGCATGACTTGATTTCTCAATTTATTTTTTATAGATAAATGTGTAAAAACCTATTTAAAAAATAAATCAGTATTCTTATCTTCGCTACATTTACTCGACGTAGAATACCCCAGAGACGATGGCAAATGTTACATGTTTCAAATAAAAGTTTCAATCTTTCGGTACATTTCCCAGTTAAAAAAAAAACTAAAACTAACAAACCAAAGAAAGAAAAAAAAAAGTATGACTTAATCTGATAGTTCCCGGTGCATGTAGGTGACGCCCATGGACCGTGGGGAAAAAAAGGGGGGGGAGCTACGCCTCTCTATTTTTAACTTTTATTTAAACATCGCTGGGATTAACGGCAGTGAAACACATTGAAGTTCTTCCATGTTTGTCCACTTGATAACCTAAAGGGAAGGAGAGCGGGGGTGGACCAGCGTGTGTGTGTGTGTGTGTGTGTGTCTCCACCTGAGTCATTGACCCCCTTGGAGATCGTTGAAACACCTTGTAAATGAGACCTTTCACTTTATTTTACTCTTTCTCTCTCTCTCTCTCTCTCTCTCTCGCTCTCTCTTGCTCCTTCTTTGTCTCCCCCTTCTCTCTTCTTGTAACTCTATTTTCTTCTTTCTGTATATTTTTTGTCCCCCCCCCCCCCCTCCGGACATCTCCATGGTTAATGGTAAGTTTCCTAAGAAAATAAAGATATTTCCTGAACACTTTTGTTTTGAAACAGTTTTAATATATTTTGTTTTTTTTACAAATTGCCTCACCAACATCCGTCCCTGGTTTTTGGAATCGCCGACTAGTGCCGTCTTTCAACGTTCATTTTCAATTAAGAGATGGTCGAAGGTAGCATCCCGAATGGTAACGTATCCACCCCACACCTGTGGCGCTACTGCCCATGTATGTGCTTTGTGCTGCCCCTCACCACTTCCTTCCACTCAGACCTTCTAACTCATGCTTTTCTTTTTTCATGCTTGTATTCCCGGCTGCTGTAGATTTTTTTTTTCTCCCCCGCGTCTTCCATCCATCTCAGCCCAGGTCTGGCTTTGAGCCGTTTTCCTCTGGGGGTTTGAGGATATACCCTCTTCACTCCTCTGTCATTTGTCATTCTTAATGGTAGAGTATCTTTAAACTAATAATATTGTTTTGTTTAAATTGGCATTTTATGCATGCCTTAAGAGCCGTCGTCTCCACTGTAAACGAAGCACTGTGTTACGTACCGTTAGATGCTTTGAAAATTTTACCCGTCTTAGGCTTAGTCTCGCAAATAACAACGCGTGACAAAGGGTTGAACAATTAGTATACAAAGAAATTTTTTTTTGAAACTCCTCCTTCCACCCCCCCCCCCCCCCCAGCTTAGACAAGCAAAAACACCACCAGCACCCCGGGTGGATGGGACTCACTCACCTTGGGGGTGGCAACTCATCTCACATGAAAACAAACTCTGAAATTGAACCCGGATGGCTGTAGTCCCCGTGGGTGGTATGGCGTTGACGTGATGAAAACTCCGACAGCTCTCTTGCGGCATGAAGCGTTAAGAACACGGGGAAACAAAGACTCGCTGCATATTGGACGATTTCCAGTCGTCTTGACCGAGTCTCGTCATTTTATCGAATAGGCAAGGACGAGAAGGTGAATCGGACGAATTGAGCAACTCTCCCTCCCTTCAAACAGATTACAGCTCAAGTCAAGGCCACTGCTCATGTCTTGGCTACAGCTCAAGTCATGGCAACAGCTCACGTCAAGGCTACTGCTCAAGTCAAGGCCACTGCTCATGTCTTGGCTACTGCTGAAGTCAAGGCCACTGCTCAAGTCTTGGCTACTGCTCATGTCGTGGCTACAGCTCACGTCAAGGCTACAGCTCAAGTCAAGGCCACTGCTCATGTCTTGGCTACTGCTCAAGTCAAGGCCACTGCTCATGTCTTGGCTACTGCTCATGTCTTGGCCTTCTTGGTTCGAAGGACGAGCAATACATAACGGCCCTCTCTGACGAAAGATAAACCTTACATTCACTTCACCCCCCTTCCCCCCGGGAGATAGTCGCGGCACTCCCCCTCCAATCAGTAGCTTGATTGTTAGTTACTCCGAAGCCCCCCCCCCTTTTTTTTGTGTGTGTTTTGTTTTTCCCCATTTTATTTTA